ACCACACACACACGCCATCTTCCAACACAACAGACACACACTCACACCCCATCTACCAACACCACACACCCCATCTACCAACACCACAGACTCACCACACCCCCATGTACCAAAACCACACACATACCCCATCTACCAACACCACACACACACCCATCTACCAACACACACACACCATCTACCAACACCACAGACACACAGACACCCCATCTACCAACACACACACACCCCATCTACCAACACTACACACACACCCCATCTACCAACACCACTTACACACCCCCCCATCTACCAACACACACACACCCCCCATCTACAAACACCACACACACACACACATCTACCAACACACACACACCATCTACCAACACCACAGACACACACACACCCCATCTACCAACACACACACACACCCCATCTACCAACACCACACACACACGCCATCTACCAACACCTCAGACACACACACACACCCCATCTACCAACACACACACACACCCATCTACCAACACACACACACACCATCTACCAACACCACACACACACACCCATCTACCAACACCACACACACACACCCATCTACCAACACACACACACACACCCCCCATCTACCAACACCACAGACACACACACCCATCTACCAACACAACAGACACACACACACCCCATCTACCAAGACCACACACACACACACACACATCTACCAACACACACACACACACCATCTACCAACACCACACACATACACACACCCATCTACCAACACACACACACACACCCCATCTACCAACACCACACAAACACACACCATCTACAGACTAATGTATGATTTAAATAGTTTGTACACCAATTGTTCGACTGGACGCCCGGCTACGTAAATTACTATATAAAAATGTGATGGGGGAGGATAGTTTGCTCTCCCCAACTAATGTCGGTGAGCCTCTTTAGCCCGTGTACATGAGCGCTACCGAACGGAATCGCCTCCACCTACCGGTCCCCCCGAGTACCAATGCACCGGCGTCGGTCTCCTGAAGTCTCCGTACCGCTAACGGCCAGTGTAACTAAATTCGCGTTATTGTTAAAGTAACAATACAATCCACATGCTTTAATTTCACGCGCACCCCAGTCTTCGCACTGTCCACATCATCCCGGAGCCCCCACCCCCCACCCCCAAAGGAAGTCCCCCCCCACCCAAAGAAGGAAAAGGAATTTATATTGAAAATATATACTTATACCAGTACGTCCCCGCCCCGTCCGCCCCCGGAGAAAAAAAGTCTGGAATAAACACTGCATTTAGTCGTTTTGTACTGACCATAAAAAAATGCCAAAGCCGGCCAATGCGGGCTTTGGCCGCACTTCGGGCTTTGACTGTAACATATATTATACTTGTAACAAGGGAGGTCATATAAGAATATCTCATATTTCAAATTTACTTTCGCTTTCTCTCCCTTTTAACTAGGACAATGACACTGACAATGTGTAGATCTTCCAATGTTTAAAATATATATACTGTTTCAATACCAATAACCAGTTCGCCGCTACAGACGTAGAGTTCTAATGATGGTTAATATTGACGTGAATTATACAGTTGGACAGTAATTAAAATCGTTTGAGAGTGTTTTTTTTAAATGTAAAAAAAACAACAACCTACTCTTCCTCAATTTTTAACATTATAAAAACCTTGTCGAACATTCATTTCTTTGTTGAAAGCGAGGAATAATATATATATATATATATATATATATATATATATATATATATATATATATATATATATATATATATATATATATATAGGGCCTATATATATATATATATATATATATATATATATATATATATATATATATATATATATATATATATATAAATCGTAACAACTAAGTCTGTTTCGTTACCTGGAAAAAAAACCAACGACATCGACATGACTATTTTAATGCAAGTTAAAATAGTGTAATATGCATCCTGCTCTGCTTGGTACCTAAGTCAAGTTTGGGAAACTAAGGCGACTGGGCATAGTACTAACCACACTATCCCCTTTTATGCCGAGGTCATTGAAACACGAAGTTTATCTTCCCCGTGTGTCTTGCTTGGGTACGAGCGGGAAAAGATCATGTATTGTGTCCACTGTGTAGTCCTTCTGTCTAGATCTACGTATTTAATAGTTCTAAAAATAAATTTCAAATTTCAAAAACAATTACCGCAAGAGGATTGCATCTAGATCTAAATACCATATAAACGGTGGGTTTTTTTTTTCAGATTTTTCTCTAGGGGGTGGGGGGCGGCACTTGAAACTTTCGAGGGGGGGGGGGGGGAGGAGAGAAAGGCGTTGGATACTGGTAAAAAGTGTACATTTTATTTGCTCTAGAAATGCTATTTAGTGGGGGGGGGGGGGGGGGGGGGGGGGCGCACGGTTAATCGAAGAGATGCCTGATAGAAACACTGCATGCATATTCCAGCAGAGACGTAGCGACGGGGGTGGGGGGGGGGGGTACATATGTTCCCAGGGGCGCCGACCCTAGGGGCGCCAAAATGGGTTGGAAAACATAATTAAAAGAACATTATAGTTGCAGTTTTGAATTATAATTAAATATATTAAAAATATATGGGGAGGGGGGGGGGCAAAATGAAAGTTTGTCCCCGGGCGCCGAGAGGGGTCGCTATACGCCTCTGCATTCCAGACTTTCTATGACTGAACACAGATCTAGACTGTCTTATACGCTGTCTTGAAATTTTATTTTAAAAATTAAGGCATTCTATTCGCAGTTAGAGTTATGACTATTTAAATTTGTGCGAAACCTTTTCAATTACAACGATAAGACTCTCACTCTTAGACTTAAATGGACCAAATTTATGTCTCCATGTCAGGCACTGTTAAAAAATTGGAAATTTAAAACTAAAAATTATGCCCCATAATATTTTCTATAGTTTATTATTATTTATTTATAACTAGCCTTCAAAAGCTACAAGTATTAAACTAATTTAATTTTAAGCAAAGCAATCGTAAAAAAACTCGATCTAGAAGTATAGTTGGCGCATTTGGGTATCTTGAGAATGAGATTAATATTTTAACTCCTTCAGCGTTTAAAAAATATTGTCAAAAATAATCCACCATAGTTAAATTAAAAAAAAAATGACAACTTAATATAAGCCAAGCATTCTTAATTTTCTAGCCATTTTCTAGATGATATGGCATTTTGATTATTCATCCGAATAAACAATTATCTTCTTTTGTCAACCTTAAAAAAATGTTTGGCTTTTTATGTTCTAGTTCTAGATTCTAGATAGAAGAGATTTTAGAAATTGTGAGACAATTTAATAAATGATCTGGCAACCCTGAACACCAGTGAAGCATATATCATCATCTACATTTAGAAATGTCAGCGAAGGCTAAGATCTGATAAGTTAGTAGCATTGATTATGTTTACAAATATGCTCATTAGTTACATTTACGTTAAGAAGCTTAGCCATTAGATTAATTGACAATTCAAAATTTCTGAGACGTCTCTAAGATAATTCAAAAGCTTTTATTGTGGTTTAAATTTGTTGATTCGTCTGGCGGCTGGCTCGGTCAGTCACTCATCACAACTGGTCGGTCAGTAGTAAAAACTTATTAAAAACTATTAGAATCTAGATCTAGATCTAGATCTAGAGTCAGTCCTGTGATAACGAGTTTGAACCAGGTCACCGATATCTGAATAAGTGAAATTATTGATTTATTCAATTGATTAGAAATGTGTATTTGGCTTAATTCAGTTAACATTGTTGATTGTAATTAATTCATTAGCAAAGCATTAGGCCTAAAATTAAAAATAAAATAGTAAAAATAGGCCAATAAATCACAATCAGTAGGCATATTCAATGATATTCTGATCAGTTTTTAAAAAATAATATTATTACTAAATATAGGCCCTAAAAGTAAATATCTCCATTTCTGATTTTATATCATTAGGCCTATTCCTTAATCTTTATTATTCTAATTTTATTCTAATTCACTAATTTTTATTTTTCAAAACAAGTGTACTGAAGTAGAAGATTAGGAGGTAGATCCATATCCAGATGATTTTTTTAGATACTAGACTAGACTCTCTCAAAAATAGGTGTGTTGGGTTGTTAGTAACTTAAGTAGTATTGTAATCTCGACTAATTTTGTAGGGTTAGCATTAACTTTAGCAAGCCATGTGTGTAGTTTTGTTATAAGTTAACAATGAGCAATCGTACACCTTTTTTAAGAAGATTCTATTACTGGTATAAAATAAACAGGCTATATAGGCCTATAATATATTACTGGTATAAATATTCCCCCTTCCCCCCCCCCCCCACACACATATTTATAGCAAGTTACAACTTCGGCATTAGACTAAGAACATCAAGTTTTTTTTATATCATGTCAAGTTCTACTTATGTTGTTAATAGTTAGCCTACATGTTGAGAATCTATTTTCAAACACTAAAAAAAAACTCGCATCATTTAGGCCCATAAAAGCTAGTAGAATGAATTTACTTTAGCCCTTATTTACTTCACCTACCTAAAATAAACAGCATCTTTGATACATATTGCATTGCTCAAGAAGTTTACATTTATTTTTCAACAATGTAATAATTTATCTACTCTATTCAGGCCTAAATAAAAACATTTCTTATTTTAAATCACTAGTGCTTATCAATAGACCATGTGTAGCATTGTAAGCGTAGGGTAGGGATCCAACATAGTAAGTAAGCGTACACTGTATCATTTTTATTTAGTTAAAAAAGTATATAAAAGTTCTTTGTCATTCTCAATAAATTTAAATAAAATGCAACTGCCAGTAAAAAAGGCTATGCTAATTTATACCGACAATGCAATAGTCAAGCACAAAAATGTATTTAAATATACTATTTGAGCTAGAAAGAAATGTTTTTTATTTTATATAGGGCCTGTTTAAAAAAAATTCAATTCTTAGTAATTTAATCACTTATTGAGAATCCATGAAGCTGTTGTAATTGGAGAGGTCGTTTTTTTATTTGCTGCAGTACATATCAATAGCCGAAAAGTAGTCTCTTACAATTTGATGGTACTAAGTTATACCAGTATTAAAAGTAATGGAAGAAAGTGTTTTAAAGGATTAATGCACATTTATGTTAATAGGAGTATTACTCGGAGTATTCCCATGAAGCTTTTTAAACTGACTTTATTAGATAAAAAATAATCAACTGTCAACACTGTTAAAAAATGTCATTTTATAACATGCAGCTTATTTTAAATACAAATTCTTCATTTGTTTTACAGCCAGCTATTATAGGAGATGCCTGTGAGGAGGTTTCATAAGTCTCATGGTCAAAATATTCGCCTTCTTCAAAATAACACAATAGCATTAAGAGAAGTAAGTTTCGCTCACGCCTTGGTGTTTAGTGAAAAACCTTTACAGCCTGGAGAAATTTTCCTTGTTGAGATAGAGAAGACGGAGAGAGGATGGAGTGGTCATATGAGGATTGGACTTACTGAGGTATTTGAAATTCATGATTATTTATTTCTTCAGGCATTTTTATTCTATATTAATAATCAGATTATTCTTTTACATTCCTTACATATTACTTGCATATTGGTTACAGGTAGATCCTGCAAAACAACAAAATGGCTTGCCTCAATATGCATTGCCTGACCTCGCCCAACTTGGAAGATGTTGGGTTTCAGCTGTAACAAAGTCAAGAAATAGACTTCAGTACCACAGCCCTGAACGGGCGGTGTCAACACTTCAAACACCATACACTTCTGTTCTCGGAAACAGCGAGGTTATTAGCACATCATGTGGTAGAGTAAGACGCTCTATGCTACAGCCGTCCTATTCATTATTTAGGTCTACATTTGTTAATGGTTCAAATGGTCAGGCTTCGTTTGAAGGGGAAGAACCGTCATTAAAAGCTGCAAAAAAACTGATACTTGCAACAGATGTTGGTTCCAGAATTGGAGTTATGTACTGCCCTGATGAGACTGGGTTTTTTGCTCGCATGCATTTTATTATCAATGGTGAAGATCAGGGTCCAAGTGATGAACACATACCTTTAAATGGGGATTCAGCTCCGTTATATGCTGTGGTTGATGTTTATGGGACTACTAAACAGATTCGCCTGATTGAACTTTATAAAGGTAAATATAATCATTATTTTTTTTTATTATGAAGTATTGCTCAACAGAAAGGTTTATAGTTCATTTAGAGGGTTTTTATAATCTTACTTAGGTCAGTATAAGCGTATGTAAGGGAATAAACTCACACATGTATATGTAATTTTATTTTCTGAACCCCTTCTCCCTCCTCCTCTCCCTCAAACAAAACCCTGCCTTTGTCACTTAATTACATAGTAAATTAGTCATACATTGTTGAAATAAAGATTACAAAAATGAAATTGGAAAAATAATAGTTGGTAGCGAATACAGGTGAGCAGCTGTTCATTAATCTTCTCTTCAAATCCTAGAGCCGAGATAGACACTAACAATGTGATAGATTATTATGCTTTTTTAGAGTTATTATTGTAAACTAATGAAATATTGCTGCCTTGGTTGTTGGAAATATTTTTTCATTGTACACCCATAAAGCACACAAACAATAATTAACTAAATATGAGACAATATTTTTACCATTCTATATGATGAACAATATTGCATGCAATAAATATTTTTGCACTACATTAAAAAAGTCTAGATCTACTTTTTTTAATGGTAAAAATATTGTCTCATATTTAGTTAACTATTGTTTGTGTGCTTTATGGGTGTAGACTTTTTGAATGTAGTGCAAAAATATTTATTGCATGCAATATTGTTCATCATATAGAATTTTGTAAAGAAAACAATTCTTTATATTTTGTTTACAGTGAGTTCCTTACAAAATGCTTGTCGTGATCTGATTCTACAGACAACGTCTAAACATCAACTTTCAGCACTGCCATTACCACAGAAAGTCATTCATTTTCTTTGTGAAGGGGATAACTCCTAGCCCCCACCCAGGAATTTTTGTTTACTGTGTCTTTTACATATCTTGATTGACCAGGTTTTTCTTTTAATGAGTCTGATGCATTTTAATAATTAGAATGACACTAATTGTGATTTGCTTACTAAGTGGTAAGTGTTCCCTGATCCCTCCTGCATTACCCATTTGTAATGGTCACTGTTGTTTTAAAGATTTTAATTACTCTCATATTTCCAAGATTTCCTTCTTGGAAACCAGCACAAGCATCAGTGTGTCATTATTCCATCATCTCAGTATTTAAGGTTAATTTTTAAATATTTGAAAATGAGTTTTTAAGTGTATAATGATACAAAAGATATTATTGATTATTCTGTTATTTTTCATCTTTTTGAATATAAGAGCATTATGTCCAAATTTAATTCAAGATACTGTAAAAATTCGTTCCCCTCCCCAAGTATTATTAATGAAATAATTTACAAAGCTAAAATTTATTTTAGTGTTTGTTAGTCCTAGTTTCTGGTTTTGATGCAGTTACAATTGTGGCCTGAACTTGCTTTATGTCTGCAGATAAACTTGAGTTATATCCTATCTTTAACTTTTTTGCAAAAAATAATTAATTTAAAATAGATAACCTACATTTATTAACACTCCTATTGTTAGTATGAAGGTTTAATTACATTAGCTCAAGTCAAAGGTTATTTGGTTGGTTTTTATTTTTGTTATTGTAATGTCAATGTTAGCATTATTAAATTCTACAAATAAATTTTCTGTAGTGCTCATTTAACATCAGGATAGAATGATACCGCTCAAACATCTGCTGTTTATAATACAAAAATTTGCTGTTATAGGAGTTTTGTCTTTTTTATTTAGCCATTTTAAAAACTACATTTTTGTATATAAACATAAATTATAATTTTAAAGCATGCTTAGTTATAACATTGGTTGTGTCATAATGCATAGTTATTGTAAATATTTGCAATGTTATGATTATTGAAGTATGTTGAATTTCCCCATAGGAATCTTGTGTATTTATTCACAAATGTGAATTATAATTATATTAATTATAACAGCATTTTGATGTATTTAAATTGAAGTAAGTGTAAACAATTTGATATTTTTAGTAAATCATTTAGATTTTTAAATTTGAATAATTGACAAGAGTTAACAGTCAGTCTTCCACCAATATAATTTGATACATTTTACAAAAGGTTAGATATATTTTAAGTATTAGATTTGAAGGCTCATGAATGTCTTATATACTTAACAGTGACATTTTTAAACCTATCAACACCTAGAGTTGTAAATTTATGGTGTCCATCATTATCATTATGACACACACAATTGATATTATCATCATTACTGAACATTTAAATTTTCCTAGTGCCAAAACAGATCTGATTATAAAACAGTTTCACTTTTTATTCATCTTCTACATTAAAATCACATAGCTTTTACCTTAATGAATTTTTCACATAAATATTGGTGTTTTCAAGGAATAATATAATGTAGTATTTTTAAAAAATAACATATTTATAGTTTCTTTGTGACTTAAGTTGCTTAGTTAAGCTTTTGAATACTTATTTCATTACTTAGTCCTTAACGTTTTTTTTATATCATATAATTGCTGTTTTCTTGTGTAGCTATGAAGTATCTTGAGTATCAGATTGGGTGATAATTGAAAATTTGAAATATAATCTAAATGTGAATATAGCACACATGGTGGTTACAGGGTACTTGAAGTTATTATTAAACAAGTATACACAAAGGCCAACTTAGAAATAAAGAAACAAAAATATTTAATGCTTAACACCTGAAATGTGTGATTATTTTTTTCGCTTGAGCCACATCTTTTATACCATTTTAACATATGTTGAAAAGTTATTTTAAACTTGGTAAATCCTAGTCACATGATCAAGTTTCATTAGTAAAAAGATTTAAAGATGCAATTTTATCATTACTTTTGGGTATATTTTTTCTTCTCTAGAATTTAAGAAAGAATTATCCAACAAATATGCATTGTACGACTAATGAACTATAAATTTCAAATTATAAGAAAAAAATACTGGTATATAAAATTATTTTGGCAGTTTCATAAAAGTGATATAGTTTTGGAGAGGAAAATGTGTTTGTATAAAAACAAGTATATGACTGTTAAGTTGGATAAACTTTTTGCATAATATTTTTTGATGAAACATGTTTTAGTGCAATGTGAAAAGCATTGGTTAATTTGAAAGAAATAATCATACAGATTTAATCTCTAACTTTTCAAATTTTTTCTCTCCAAAATTTATGTCTTTCATTAGCTAACAGAAAATGAGTTGCAATCTATGAAAAGAAAGCTATAATGTTTTAACAAATGTATAAAAGCTGAATATTCTTTAATAAGCATTTGATTACCGAGCTTGTTGGTAAGAATAAACAAGCTGTCCATTGTTACTTCCTTTGATATAATTATCAATTTACATGATTTTGGGTGTTAATGAATGAATATTTTCTTATTTTAAAAAGTTGTAAAAATGTTGGCAAAGAGTTAAAAACTAGTGACTAAAAATTTAAGCAATGACAGTACTCTGATATTGATGTTAAAAAACTTTGAGGTGAACTGAATTTTTGAAAAGATTTAATCTAATGAATGTGATTCTTTTACCATATTTTTTTCACATGACTGCAAGGTGTCGCTAGAATTTAATAAAGAAGAATATACTCTGAACAAAATGATGGGCAAAATATTGCATACAAAAAGCCACAGTATTGACACATTTGATACACTTATGGAGTGGATCTGCCACTACTTCAGCACTTCCCTAGCCTGCCATTGTAGACTTGCAGGCAGGGAATTGACATCAGTCTCTGTGCTGATTCACACTACAAGACTCGGATTTTCCCACACACTTTGGTGTCCCATTTTGTTAAAAATGTGGTACTTAACCAAGGTGCATGTAATTAAGTAAGAATAATTCTTAAACAGTTTCAAAGTGATAACATTGTTACTTTGAAACACTGTTTAAGGTTTGGTTATTGCCTGAATGTGATCAGTCTCATTTTGTTAAACTTATAACTTATAGTATGATTTATAGTATGATTTTAACACTTTATTGTGTGGCCAGTATGTTCAAGCTTTCAATGTGTAACAGTTTGTATGGTTATATATATTCTCCTATATTGTTATAGCAATTCTACCTTTTGAAGCTACATCTCTACGTCTGAATTTATTAGTCAGTCAGTGATTTTTCATGTCATAGCAATTAGTGAATAGTGAGACAGGATTTCCTAAATTTGGTTTTTATTTAATAGTATTTTCTTATGCTAAAATGCAAATGATAAAAATGTTTCCCATGTCAAAATGTTATCTTTTGCCTTTATTCTGGTTAACATTTTAAAATATTTTCTGCTACTTTTTGCAGAAAATAAATGGTTATGGTAATACTGATGTATTAAAATTTTAGAAAAGATAAAGTTAAACCATTTTTTAAATATTTAAATTAAAAATAGTTTCTTGGTAATAAATGAGAATGGTAGGCCTGCAGTTTTTATTTTATTTTGTTATTCCAAGGCTGGTTCTATTATTTTTTAAAAAATATTTAATAACTGATATCTAGGCATGCAATCTGATTAAACAAGTTTCTCTATCCTTAGCTCAACTTCAATGATTTGTATTATAGATCTAGTAATAGGGCATTTACAAAGAGGGTATATAGGAATCACAGGACTAGGCCAATATTTATTCAAATATTTCTTTGATAATCACATTAAAAGTAGTATTATGAGCAATGTTGATTTCCTGATTTCTAATCATTTGAAATCTTCCATCTCTGCTTTTTAAATTGCTAACCTTAACCCTAACAGTTATCTGGTTTAACTAGGCCATATCCTACTAAAATATTATCAAATTGTGATATGTATATGTACATACAGTTAGTACAACATTGTGTACACAGTTGTGCAACATAACCAGTATTGACAGATAAGTGTGTGTGTGAGAGAGAGAGGCATGGTTCACTTTATTATGTATTGTATGTGTTAGCATTAAAATTATGTCTAGAATCTCGTGTTTTATTATTATGGTTGTTTGTTTTTATTGAAAAATAACCCACTTTGTCAGAGCTTTGGACATATTTTAACATCTGACATTCATAACACTAACCCTAACACATCTAAGTTTATTATAACATAGATTGTATGGGGGATTCTAGTGCTATCATTACATTTCTTCAATTGTTTTTTTAAATTTTAAGTGAAACGAAGATGGGTCAACCACTCACCCACCCTCTACGTGTTTGAATGTGGAAGGGGGGGGGATCATCCATCTCTCTGAGAGGGAACGCCCACCACATGGGTAAGCGGGTTGAGGGTATATAGTATATACACTACGGCCTTTGAAAATGGTTCCCACCAACTCAGGTCGACTCTGACTTTATTGAGAGTGTGTGGAAAGTAGGCCTATGGGTTGGGTGGGTGTGTGACGACTAATCTATGCGGTGGAAATATATTATTAAATACATATAATTATAATAGGCTAATAATGGATCCATTAATCGGGAACCCTTTTGTTCTAGCCGTTTAGAGTGTCAGGGTGCTGTGTATGTTCTAATGTAATGTAGGTGCGACGCTACTAAATCTAACTACTAAACCGCAGGACACCAACCATCTCGATAAATGGTAACACTGAGCAAAAAGAATCTTTCTAAGTTACTCGGTATTTGGAGAAACCGTCACATCTAGACATACACCACCACACGATTTAGATCTAGAAATCTAGATTCTAAGTCTAGTCTAGAGATTGTTTATTCTAGATCTAGTCTAGTCTAGTACGGGTTTACACAGTGAGTATTAGATCTAGTTAGATCTAGAATCTAGGGTAAAATCACGATATAGCGTCGGTTATTATTCCGGAACTGTACAGCAGTAAAAAACAGTAAAACCATGGCGTAGTCTGTCGAGCCGTTCCGGAAACCACCGGAAATACTGTAAACCATCATTTATTTGCCGCCATATTATTTTTAATACATAATGTTTAAAACTGTGCAAGGATTGATTTTAGTTGCATTTTAAATACTGTTTTGCTAATTATTTTGTATTTCTAATTATTTTAAGTGTTTGTGCTAATTATTGCTGCTACTAAACATTATTCTAGTTATTCTTACTACTTTTAACTTTAGTTAATCTAATCGTCTTATTTACTAACAGAACAAGAGCTGGTTGTCGCAAATCTTCTGCAGGTTTTTTATGTTTCTTAAAAAAAAATAATTAATTACTACACTCGAGTTTATTAATAATATTTAGATTTTCTATCTGTTATTAATTTTCTGTCAATTAAACTGTAAATTAAGTTAAAACATTAATTTAATGCACTTGACTTTATTTTTATTTCACCGGTCAAATAAACTATGGTTTACAGTAACAAATGTTACCGAAACTCAACGAACATTACCCAATAATTTCCGACGCTATATCGTGATTTTACCGAATCTAGATCTAGAGATTCTAGAATGTCTAGATGATATTACTATTTATTAGATCTAGATCTAGATCAGATCTAGATTCTAGATCTAGATCTAGATCTAGATCTAGAATCTAGATCTCGATTTCTAGCTTTCTTAGTTAAGTAAGTTAAGTTAACTTAAGTCTTAAGTTAAGATACCGGCAGTAGCGTAGCGAGGGGGGGGGCATATGTCCCCGGGCGCTGACCTCAGGGGCGCCAAAATGGGTTGGAAAAATAAATTGAAAGGTTGGGGGGGGGGGGTGCAAATCGAAATCACGAGGGGGGTGCAAATCGAAAAGTTTGTCCCCGGGCGCCGGGAAGGGTCGCTACGCCTCTGGATACCGGCCAATGTCCGTTAATAAAATCATAAATTAAATGTATTTTAAATGATAATACTATCATAATACAACTCTTGTATAATTAAATACTAAATAGTCATCTAGATCTAGTATAAATAGGTCGACACACATACTAGATTCTAGATCTACATCTAGAAGATCTAGATTTTTTAGATCTTGATTCTAGATCTATTGGTACTTGACAGAAACAAATTTTGTATTAATTTTCAAATGGGTTATTTCGGGCGGTTTTGAACAAGGTGGTTTTCTATTCTGTATTCTGAGTTGACACAAAAGAAAGAAGTAGATAACTCATCAGCACTTCAAGTGACAAAAAATTGGACATTATAACAATATAGTTACAAACTAAATGTCTTTGAAGTCTGCATCAAATCAAAGTTCTTTGTAAATTGGGTGCGGTATAATTTTTTCAGACATTTTCGCATTTTACTTGCAGTGTAAGTATTGGTGGGGGGTAATATGCGAGGCAAAAATGTCACATGACCTGTGGTTTTCATACCCTTCTTGCAATATGTCAATAAAAATGTCACGGGACTTGTGGTTTTTGTACCCTTCTCACAATTTACAGACTCGCTGTTTCGCGTCTCGCAATTTACCAACACCCGTCACACTGTGACTGATCACCGTGTAGTAAAGTAAGCCAATTCTAGATCTTGATTTCTGCTTACTAACTAGATTCTAGTAAGACTCTGAATCTATATTAGATCTTCAAAGTACTCGAAGTAGATCTGATTGGATGTAGATCTAGATTCTAAGTAGTGTTTCTTGCATACTTTTTCTCAGGATGGGGGACACATGAAACTTGTGGGGACAGGGATAGGGGGAGGGGACACTGGTGAAAGAATATAGACTATAGACCTATATATACAAATTCTGTTGAAATCCCCCCCCCCCCAGAGAAGAAATGCCTGAAAGGAACACTAAGTCTCTATAGGTAGACAAGCCTAATACTATGCATAAGGCTTATGGACAATCCCAAAAACTACATTAGTTTAGCTTTTACCTCTATGTCTACTGCCTTTTTCACTTTTACTCTATTTCAAATTTTGTTTAGTCTTACAAAACTTAATGATTAATGATTTTCAATCTGTAGAAATAAGATTACTAGATGCATTAAAATATATTTAATAACATTTCACAAGAATTTAAAATATTTAATCTCTGAGTTTGTCTACTTCTCAGTCTTCATTTGTAATAATATAGGCATAGATTCAGATCTACAGTGGAATAATCCAGGCTGAAAAGAAAGTGGTTAAAGAAATGTGTGAAGCATATGGAGAAGAGGATGGGGAACAAGTACCTGTAAAATTGATCCGAGATAAAAGGTAATTTTGTCCTTATTTTATACCAGTCAGCATGCTTGACTAAATAAATTATTACTATCTGATGGTGTCAAACCATTTAAAAAGAGATATTAAGAATTTCCTGCCCATGTAATTTTAAAAAAATTGTGAGGATCTTATTTAGAAGAAGCGTACGCACTAGTAAGATAGAGATTAAATCTACATAGTTTTTTTTTACTATCATTTTAGCAAAATGTTTTAATGAAACCCTCCTCAGCTTATAGTCTCTACATTATCCTTTTAGTAGGCCATAGCTTAGTTTAGGTCATTTAAAATTAACCAGAGCTAGATGCTAGAATTTTGATTAAAAATTTTTTTTTTAAGTATTTTTTGTTAACTTTTCCATTTTTTCAGCAACAACAGAGAGCAAAAATGTGTCAAATGCAATGAGTCTGGTGTACTTAAAATACGCCTTAATGATTCATTCTGCAAGTAAGTAGTCTTAATGCTTGCCAACTAAAATGTTTAATACATCATGTTTGAATTAATGTCTTTAATTCTAGTTAATAAAGCATTTGGAAACTCTAAAACTCTCGTAGTGGTGTGGATAATAGTACAAAACTTTCTCAAAATTTCCAAAGTTTTACTTGCTTACAAAAGCAGTTGCATTTAATTACAGTCCTGTCACTGGCATAAAGATGACTAATTATGTACCAGTTATAGTCTGAAATCCTAAAATATTAAAGCCCATGTGCGCACTTCTGTCTGTTTTTTTGTCCGTTTGTCCCGAAGCTATGAGAAAAGTATCTTCAGCAGTATACATGTAGAGCTTAAAAATACTGACTTTTTAAAAAAATGATATGTTGAATGTATGAAATGTAGATCTATAAACTAAATTTTATTTAAAGAAGAAATTAAAAATAAAGGCATATTTGAATGTAGAAACACATTTTTAATTATGCAACCTGAAAAGTGTTCATAGTTGTGACTAGAAAAAAAAAATAATGATGTCATATGTTTAAACTACGGAAAGTATGCAACACTAATATGAATAAATGAACAATTTCATTTAAATTTGATTTAGATCTATAGTTCTACTTATCAAGAAATGTATACAACTTTCTCAGCCAAAACTAGTACAAATTTCTTTAAAAAACAACATAAATACCATTGAAAAGCCGGGTTTTTAAAAGAATCATAACTCTTAATCAGCATTAAAGATAGTGTTGTGTTAACTTATTTTATTATAATGTATATAGATCTAATTTGGTTTTAATTTTTCTAATTAGTATTGGTAGCCTATGTTATTTTAAATGTGTCAGATTTTTAGCTATTTGGTTATTTCTTTGCTTTGTCACCAATATCGTTCAACGTGTAGTAAAGCACATTGCGTTTTGATCAATAACTATTTTATAAATTATTTTTCCAAAAAAGCATAACATTATAAATATATAGGCCTATAATTCATGTGAAACGGGTACCCATCGCTAGTATATGCATAATATGTAATTTAAAATATTCTTGGATTATTTTAATAAATAAGTTATCCTTTTGGACTTGCAATCTATGGGGCAAATAAAGTTGAGTTCACCTGTTTCTGGGATCTCTGCATATGAAGGGATATTGTGGATATATGCCGTGTCACCTTTACTTTCCCTAACATGATTCAAATAGCAATCAGAGCAGGGTGGACTCAGGGACTCTAATCTTGAGACTTTGGGTTAGCAGTCATACACTCTACCATTCAACCATGTTGTCCCAATATAGTTTACAAATGTAAGATTTCTTTCACAAAACAAGTAAAAACTGTGCATCTACTTGTGAATATAAACAAGAAGTTAACTTAAAAACTTTACTTTAGGAACTGCTTTCAGGTGTATATTGTTCACAAGTTCCGAGCATCAATTGGCAAGGCTAAAGTCATCAGGAGTGGTGAGCATGTTGTGGTAGCTTTCTCAGGGGGCATCAACTCTGCTGCCTTGCTTCATCTCATTCAAGATGTAAGTGTAAACTACAACAGATGCTCCTATCATACAACTCAATAACCTGGTTTAAAGCTGGGGTATATTTAGAGTCAAATTTCTTTGGTTCTTGTAGCCTGTTACTTTTGACTTCCTTTACTGAAAGCAAATATTTAGTTAAAAGCGCAGGTCAGCCTTTCCAACAATTCTTGTTTCTTTTTTAGGGAAAAAGTGAAAGAGCACACAAAAAGTTAAGATTTATTCCTTCTCTGGTGTATGTTGATGGTAGGTCTGGTTTTAAACTTTTTTTTGCATTTTTTGTTCAAGAAACTTCTTGAAAATAATTAGAAAAGACTGTTTTGTAGTGTCACGTGTATGTAAAAAACAAAGTTTGGAATAATCTCTAAGGTCTCACAATGGAAGGATGTGTTGAGTGCAGGCACACATGTTCAACCTATTTTAAGTTTTGACTGTGCTACTGTGTACCAAAATTTGTCACACTACTTGATTTGTTTACAAACATTGGAGCTCTCTTGTTTACAGAAACCAGTTTACTAGATGTTTCTGATGAAGAAAGACAGACTGTCAGGTCTAGTGTCACAAAACTGATGTTAGATTCTGGATTCCCAACTTACATAACAAACCTAGAGCAAGTAGGTGTCATTAATTGGATGTATTATACTTACTTATATACAATACAGGATGCTATATTATGATATATATGTAAATAAGTATTTATTGATGTCTCACGTACATCATCTGTCTGACTAATAATTCAAAATTGATCATTTTACTTTACCGTAATAAACACAGATTTAGTCAGTCCAATTTTGGTATTTGCAGGTGCTGGAGTTTGAGAAACAGCAGAGTACATTAGATTCAATGTGGCAGGTTCACCCCTCTGATGGGTGCTCCAACATCCCCATGCCAACACAGTCTCAGTCTGGAAGGTTAAAGGCTCTAATCACTGGCTTAGGATCACTCTCTAGTGCTGAAGATTTTATAAGAAATTTAAGGTCAGTTGCATAGCAAATCAAATTTTCTTTCTTTAGCATGTCACATTAAACTAGTTCAGGACTGTCAGTGAACCACTCTAACTCCTGGATAGTCTTAGTTCAGGACTGTCAATGAACCACTCTAAACCCTAGATAGTCTTAGTTCAGGACTGTCAGTGAACCACTCTAAACCCTAGATAGTCTTAGTTCAGGACTGTCAGTGAACCACTCTAAACCCTAGATAGTTCAGGGCTGTCAGTGAACCACTCTAACTCCTGGATAGTCTTAATTCAGGACTGTCAATGAACCACTCTAAACCCTAGATAGTCTTAGTTCAGGACTGTCAGTGAACCACTCTAAACCCTAGATAGTCTTAGTTCAGGACTGTCAGTGAACCACTCTAAACCCTAGATAGTCTTAGTTCAGGACTGTCAGTGAACCACTCTAAACCCTAGATAGTTCAGGGCTGTCAGTGAACCACTCTAACTCCTGGATAGTCTTAATTCAGGACTGTCAATGAACCACTCTAAACCCTAGATAGTCTTAGTTCAGGACTGTCAGTGAACCACTCTAAACCCTAGATAGTCTTAGTTCAGGACTGTCAGTGAACCACTCTAAACCCTAGATAGTCTTAGTTCAGGACTGTCAGTGAACCACTCTAAACCCTAGATAGTCTTAGTTCAGGACTGTCAGTGAACCATTCTAAACCCTAGATAGTCTTAGTTCAGGGCTGTCAGTGAACCACTCTAAACCCTAGATAATCTTAGTTCAGGGCTGTCAGTGAACCACTCTAAACCCTAGATAGTCTTAGTTCAGGGCTGTCAGTGAACCACTCTAAACCCTAGATAGTCTTAGTTCAGGACTGTCAGTGAACCACTCTAAACCCTAGATAGTTCAGGGCTCTCAGTGAACCACTCTAAACCCTAGATAGTCTTAGTTCAGGGCTGTCAGTGAACCACTCTAAACCCTAGATAGTTCAGGGCTCTCAGTGAACCACTCTAAACCCTAGATAGTTCAGGGCTCTCAGTGAACCACTCTAAACCCTAGATAGTCTTAGTTCAGGACTGTCAGTGAACCACTCTAAACCCTAGATAGTCTTAGTTCAGGGCTGTCAGTGAACCACTCTAAACCCTAGATAGTTCAGGGCTCTCAGTGAACCACTCTAAACCCTAGATAGTTCAGGGCTCTCAGTGAACCACTCTAAACCCTAGATAGTTCAGGGCTGTCAGTGAACCACTCTAAACCCTAGATAGTTCAGGGCTCTCAGTGAACCACTCTAAACCCTAGATAGTTCAGGGCTCTCAGTGAACCACTCTAAACCCTAGATAGTTCAGGGCTCTCAGTGAACCACTCTAAACCCTAGATAGTTCAGGGCTGTCAGTGAACCACTCTAAACCCTAGATAGTTCAGGGCTCTCAGTGAACCACTCTAAACCCTAGATAGTTCAGGGCTCTCAGTGAACCACTCTAAACCCTAGATAGTTCAGGGCTCTCAGTGAACCACTCTAAACCCTGGATAGTTCAGGGCTCTCAGTGAACCACTCTAAACCCTGGATAGTTCAGGGCTCTCAGTGAACCACTGTAAACCCTGGATAGTCTTAGACTCTTAGTTCAGGGCTCTCAGTGTACCACTAGACAGTCCATCCATTTCCAGATTTGCTGGGATTTGTGTTATCATCTTCTTTGTTTCTTTTTAAAGCAACTGTTAGTTTTTTACAAATAAGTATTTACTTAGATTTAGAGTAATGTCCCTTCTATTTACATGTCAACATTACCTTTCAAGTTATAGCCTGAAGGGACGCTATTCTAAATGGACGCAAATACTTATATGTGACAATTCTCTGAAGGGTAATGTAAACATGTAAATAAAAGGGACACTACTCTAAATCTACACAAATACTTATATACGAAGATTAATTTTTCCTGGATTTTTTTTTACATTTGTCTTAAAGTTTGGTGAAATAATTTTTTCTTAATTTACTGTTTTTAACGGTTGAAGTAACAACTGTGAGTGACATGTTGATAAATATACAACCTCTTTCAGAAATCTGAAATAGCCACTGTGACATGTTGATAAATGTACAACCTCTTTCAGAAATCTGAAATAGCCACTGTGACATGTTGATAAATATACAACCTCTTTCAGAAATCTGAAATAGCCACTGTGACATGTTGATAAATGTACAACATCTTTCAGAAATCTGAAATAGCCACTGTGACATGTTGATAAATATACAACCTCTTTCAGAAATCTGAAATAGCCACTGTGACATGTTGATAAATATACAACCTCTTTCAGAAATCTGAAATAGCCACTGTGACATGTTGATAAATATACAACCTCTTTCAGAAATCTGAAATAGCCACTGTGACATGTTGATAAATATACAACCTCTTTCAGAAATCAACTTCTAGCAGCAGCTGCCAGAAAGCTGGGTGTGACTAAAGTACTGACAGCTGAAAGTGCCACCAGACTGGCGGTTAGAATACTGTCTGATGTTGCTCAGGGGAGAGGGTCACAAGTTTCACTCAACACAGTAGGTGAATAGGTCTTTGATACGACTGCTTGTTAGTGAATGTCTTTGATACGACTGCTTGTTAGTGAATAGGTCTTTGATAGGACTGCTTGTTAGTGAATGTCTTTGATACGACTGCTGTCAGTGAATATGTCTTTGATACGGCTGCTTGTCAGTGAATATGTCTTTGATACGACTGCTTGTTAGTGAATATGTCTTTGATACGACTGCTTGTTAGTGAATGTCTTTGATACGACTGCTGTCAGTGAATATGTCTTTGATATGACTGCTTTGTCAGTGAATGTCTTTGATACGACTGCTTGTTAGTGAATGTCTTTGATACGACTGCTTGTCAGTGAATGTCTTTGATACGACTGCTTGTTAGTGAATGTCTTTGATACGACTGCTTGTTAGTGAATGTCTTTGATACGACTGCTTGTTAGTGAATGTCTTTGATACAACTGCTTGTTAGTGAATGTCTTTGATACGACTGCTTGTTAGTGAATGTGTCTTTGATACAACTGCTTGTTAGTGAATGTCTTTGATACGACTGCTTGTTAGTGAATGTCTTTGATACGACTGCTTGTTAGTGAATGTCTTTGATACGACTGCTTGTCAGTGAATGTCTTTGATACGACTGCTTGTCAGTGAATATGTCTTTGATACGACTGCTTTGTCAGTGAATGTCTTTGATACGACTGCTTGTTAGTGAATGTCTTTGATACGACTGCTTGTCAGTGAATGTCTTTGATACGACTGCTTGTTTGTGAATATGTCTTTGATAGGACTGCTTGTCAGTGAAAATGTCTTTGATACAACTGCTTGTTAGTGTATATGTCTTTGATACAACTGCTTGTTTGTGAATATGTCTTTGATATGACTGCTTTTCAGTGAATATGTCTTTGAAATGACTGCTTGTCAGTGAATATGTCTTTGATACGACTGCTTGTCAGTGAATATCTTTGATACGACTGCTTGTCAGTGAATATTCTTGTCAGTTAATATGTCTTTGATATGACTGCTTGTTAGTGAATTCTTACAGGAACTCTGGTGGGTAATTTGCTTTTTTTATGGATGAACCCCGAAACCCACAGTTATCCAAGGGATGACGGGTAGTCTAGTACTTTATAAAATAGTCTGAATTTTTCTCTTGTTCAGGGTTTTTCTGATGAAAGAAATGGAGATGTTATGTTTATTCGACCAGTGAGGTAACTTCCTAGTTGTAGTTGTGTTTTCTGTAAACATAGATCTATTTACCTGATCCTGAGTTGATATTAACATGCTTTTACAAAATGTAAATTTTTTTTTGCATTAGGCCTACGATTAACTATTGTAAATTTGTTTTTCCATTTTCATTTCTAATTTATAACAAATTGTTTGTTTGGATATTAAAGTACCTGGACCTGGTATAATTAAAAAAAAACCTGAATAACATAAGCCAGTCAATAGTTGTGAAAGTTCATGAAGCAAGTTATACTTAATTCAGTTTACACATGACTGTTCACTTGGTGTTGTGCTTCTCTCTACAGAGACTTGAATGCTAAAGAGCTGGCTATGTACAACAGCTTGTTCCATGTTGACAGTGTTTTCATACCTACCATAACCACTAAGGTAGGCACGGATACTGCTACATTTGTCTGTCAGTGTTCACCTATCATGAACTCAAGGTTGGGTAAATCATCAGTAATCAGGGATTCCCAACTGTCCACATGTGATTCATGTGGTCAGTATAAAGTGTTGCCTTCTATCTAAGTACATGAGTTGTAGTTCACTGTTGAAGTCTGACATCCATGTCTGTAGATATTAAACCAAATCACAGCAGAATACAATGAGCACACCTTGACTGATGCAAGTGTTTCAATCCACAGACTGATCCAGGCTCCAGCATTGAGAGATTAACAGAAACTTTTGTCATGGGACTACAAGAAGAGTTCCCCTCAACAGTCAGTAACATCAAAAGGTACTGAAACAAATCCTTCTAGAAACAGCAATTTTGTCAATGACAGACCTAAACATTACTAAAAGCTTTGATCGTTTTAGTCAACTGAATTTATTTATCCTCATGACCTGTTCACAAGCAGAAGCCTCTACTTTTCCCTAGAAGTAATTTTTATGTTTAACCCTGATAACATTTTAATCATTTAACATTTGAAAGCTGAAACTGTGGCTAATTTTGCCCTTGTTGTTGTACTTTAATGGGAATCTTTTCAACTTGAAACATACTTGGACATTCAAAGTTAAGCCATTAATAATTGTATGTAGAGAGTTGTTGAAAGTTGAATGAAAACTGATCAAATTGTGATCTGCAGAACATCAGAGAAACTTGATCTTCCAGATGTGAAGGACAGCATCAAGTGCTGCTTGTGTCAGGTAAATCAGATTTCATTGCTAATCTTTCTAACAGAAAGCATTTTGTGTTAATTAAAAAGGAGAATAGTTCAAAAAGTTTTCAAAACAGTGCTCCATAAATACCCTATGACAATCTACCTCCATTAAGTTTGGTGTTATATATTTTGTTAGAACTTTGATTGTACTATTTCAGTCTCCCCTTGACACTGATGTTGGACTAGCCTCAGCACTAAATGCTATTGAACTGTCCAAGCAGTTGTCCAAGTCTTCAGGACGGACACCAGTGGATGGCGCTGATGTAATTACACTAAGGTACAGATACTCTTTTTTTATTCGGTGGGATTTTTGGCACGGGCTAACACATCTGTTTTTCAATAGAGGCACATTGGTATTTATTCTGCATGGGTTTTTGAGTTTTTTAATGTCAAAGTTAGCCTGGTTCTTATGTACTCTTTTTATTAAGATTGTAAAATGAATATAAACCCAAAAATTCCATATATTATTCACTGAGTGTTCTTGTGTAGCACCTCCACTCCTGCTTTATGTGGAGGAGATTTTCCTTGCCTCCATGATCAAATACAATGGGATTAGTTGAATTCTAAATTACTGCTTACTTTTGATACTTAACTTTGATTTATACCATCTAAGCTACATTATTTTTAATTTAAAATATTACATGGAGAAGAAACAAGATTAATCCAGAATATTATTTGACAAAAGGAACAAAATTGATTCAGTATATTATTTGATAAGTTTTTCTATTTGATTTCAGTGAGCCTTTTCAAGATTTGAAAAAGTTACTTTGTTATGGCTGTAGCTTGGGTCTTAGTCAATTTGTAAGTCATTTCAAAAGTTTGTTAATATCAGCCATCAGATTTGTCATTGATCCTATTACCCATTTCAAAAGTTTATTTATTAATATGAGCCATCAGATTTGTCATTGATCCTATTACTCATTTCAAAACATTATATTTAATAATATTACATGATCAGATTAGTCATTCATCATTTGACCATTTTCAAAACATGTTGGTTTTATTAATGTGATCTGTCATCAGATAAGTCATTCATCATTTGACCATTTTTAAAACTTGTTGGTTTTATTAATGTGATCTGACATCAGATTATAAGTCATTCATCATTTGACCATTTTCAAAACATGTTGGTTTTATTAATGTGATCTGACATCAGATGAGTCATTCATCATTTGACCATTTTCAAAACATGTTGGTTTTATTAATGTGATCTGTCATCAGATAAGTCATTCATCATTTGACCATTTTCAAAACATGTTGGTTTTATTAATGTGATCTGTCATCAGATAAGTCATTCATCATTTGACCATTTTCAAAACATGTTGGTTTTATTAATGTGATCTGTCATCAGATGAGTCATTCATCATTTGACCATTTTCAAAACATGTTGGTTTTATTAATGTGATTCATTCATCATAAGAGCCAATTGTTTTATTAATGTGATTCATTCATCATAAGAGCCAATTGTTTTATCTCTTACAGAAAGGTGATTTATCCACACTGCCACCCTTTGTGATGTGTACCAGCAAAGAAACAAAAACTCAGTAAGTTTGAGATTTTACAACAAAATCTAGAAACAACTCACATCTGAACAGTACAAAAAAAATAAAGGCAGATCATGAAATAGTTGATAAATAAGTAAAGTTTTGGCTTTTCACAACTGTCATCATTTTTATATATAGTTTTAAAAATTAATTTTGATAGAGCAGTCTTAGCATGTCTGTTACAATTGAAATGTCTTACCATGTTATTACAGTCCAATGTTTTTGTAATTTTCTATTGGGAATGGTGCTTTTTACTTTCTCGTATATACGAAGTATAGAGAAAGTATTGTAATCGTGCAAAAAAAAAAAATCGAGATTTTTACAGATCTCGACGTTTTACACCTCACTGATACAGAAAAACATAATTTTGCAATCTTGTCCGTATGTCTGTGTGTGTGTGTGTGTGTGTGTCTGTGTGTCCGTGTGTAAACACGATAACTTGAGTACCGTTACAGCTAGGTTGATGAAATTTCATATATAAGTATTATATCAAAATCGTAGATCCGTATCTAATTCTCTACCTTCTGTTAAATTTTGAGTAATTTCCGTTGACTGGAAGTAGTAATTTACGCTACTTCCGATTTCTCAAAAAACTAATGTAAATTTTAAAAGTACTAATAATATTGCGCACTATTATGCGCTTTTTTATTGGGCGTTCACTTGGTGTGCAATTAATTTGTCTACGAGATTTTATTCTATTTTTAAAACTTTAAGTATTTAAAATGGATTAAAAATCATGTCTATAGCCCGAGTTCCCATCCCCTGTTATTTTATATAAGAATATTCGAGAAAGTTTAGGGGAGATCACTCCCGGTTTATTTTCTTTGTTAGTGTAAGAGTTGATGTTTCTACTGAAAGATTTTTATTGGCAGTGCCAAAAATGTCTTGTTAAATGTCATTTATTTTTCTCAATCCCAGGGAGTGCCTTAGAGAAAAAATTTCCAGTTTTTTGTTGACAGATGAAACAGAATGACAACGCAAATGATGACACAAAAGTAACTAGGAATAAAGACAATTTTAAAGCTGTTTTTTGTTTTATATCTTTATGTCAATCTATCATCTGAGATGACATACAAAAGTCAACATTTAATAACCTTCAGATGGTACAAAAAGGTTTTTTTTTTAAATAAAAAAAAATAAACATTTGTAACATTAAGTCTTATTCTTATACATTGTCTTGTAAAAAACCTGCTCTTATTTTAAGAAACAAATTTTAAAAGACGTTACAAAGTTTATAATTGACCTATCTAAGGCCATATAAGTTGGTAACATTGAAAAACAATTTTTCTTTAAAAGAAAACTGTTGGTACATGATTGTTTTGGTACATTAAACTCAGCTGATGGTAGCTGTATGAACTATGATCTTTACATTTGTCAGTTTTATACACCGTTACTAAAACTTGAATTTTCCTAAACAGAAGACATACTTTTTCAAATATATAACCACTTAAGCAATTTGAAACAATCACCGTTTGAACAATTTGAATTGTATCACCATTGAGCAATTAAAATAGTATCACCATTGGAGGAGTGTGAAATGTATGGAGTCACCAAATGAACAATGGCCTGTGGTCACAGTTGGACAGGTAGACGAGACTGTTGAGTAAGACGTTGAGGTGGCTCATTTCACTGGGACCTTGAGCCAGCTGCTGGATCAGGGTGGAGATGGCTAGTGGGTCGTTGAGGCGGAATTCTTCAATGGTCACCTGGTCTGGCGGGCAGGCCAAGAGGCCATATTTGTTGACTATCTCTTGGGCGAATTCAGCATGGAACTGAAATACAAAGGCCAGAATAAAAATAAATTGTATTAAGAAACACTACAAGAATTCAGACAGGGTTCCTTTTATTGGAACTATTTTTATTTAATTTTTTTGTTGACGAGTCTACATTACGTGTCTAAAAATACTAAAATAGAAGTTGATGTAAATATGACATCTGAACTATATTCAAGCACAAAATAAGGGTCAAACCTAAACTCTCACCTTGATATTATAACCGTACTTCTCCAAACCAACCATTAGCTTTCTGAGTCTGCAGACCAACTCACTTTTGGTTATTGCGTCACTTCCGCCTCTTGGGTTTTTTGATTCTCTTTCCATCATGGAGAAAATATTTCCCACGGTGTAGCCGTAAAAACGTTTGCGTTTGGTGTCTTCCTGGATTTAACAGGAGAAAAAAGACCAATCAAGTAGCTTGTCTTACTCCTAATCATTTAAAAAGTAATAATGTAGTCATATCGCAATCCCACAAAACCATCTAGCTCTCATGTTTCCCCTCACAATCAAAAGTAACTCACACAATCAAGTTACTACATATTTACCACAAACAAAAGTAACACAATCAAGTTACCACACATATTAACCACACTGTCAAAAATAACTCACAATCAATTTACCACACGTTTACCACACAAGTTACCACACGCGGTATAATACAAAATCAGCACTCACCATACCAAAAACATAATCTAAGATCCTTCTCTCCAACTGAAATGCCAGCTCTCCTAAAATTTTTAAACTTGGTCTTTTTTTCTTGTCCTCACTTTCATCTTTTAGGAAAAATATTTATAGTCATTTCATACTCAAAGGAAAAACAACTTGTTTTCTCATCTGATCATTTATATTGTTTAAAAAAAAAAAAAAATCAGTGTTGTTGAGTTTGATGGAAAATAAAGGGAAAGTAAAACAAATGGAGTAAAATATCTAAAATAGTTTAAAATTTTAAAACATTGACATAACGACAAAATACGGGCATTAATCTATAAATCTACAGTAATATACATCTACGCATAGGCCTAGATCTATACCGTGGAGTAATATTCAAATTCTCCTCACGATCGAAATGTGTTGTCAAAGTGGACAATGATTCAAAGCCCACACTTTTTATACAATACACTTTTGATACATTTAAAAAAAAAAGATACTTTTTAAAATTCAGATAATGTAAACTTAGCAAGCACCCATGTTTACCATAGCAACAGTTGGTATTGCAGTTTTCTGTAGAACAACTACTACATTCACTTGAGTTGTCGTCTTCGTCAGATCCTGAATAACTTTCATCTGTATTGTCTGAAGAATCATCAGCTGAGTATGACGTCGTGTCACTTCCGGTGGACATAGGACGCTGTTTGTGCGAGCAGTTTTTGTCATGCTTGACGTCACCAGAGGACCATGTAGGACAGTTTTTGTCATGCTTGACGTCACCAGAGGACCATGTAGGACAGTTTGTGTCATGCTTGACGTCACCAGAGGACCAAGTAGGACAGTTTTTGTCATGCTTGACGTCACCAGAGGACCATGTAGGACAGTTTTTGTCATGCTTGACGTCACCAGAGGACCATGTAGGACAGTTTTTGTCATGCTTGACGTCACAAGAGGACCATGTAGGACAGTTTTTGTCATGCTTGACGTCACAAGAGGACCATGTAGGACAGTTTTTGTCATGCTTGACGTCACCAGAGGACCATGTAGGACAGTTTTTGTCATGCTTGACGTCACAAGAGGACCATGTAGGACAGTTTTTGTCATGCTTGACGTCACAAGAGGACCATGTAGGACAGTTTTTGTCATGCTTGACGTCACCAGAGGACCATGTAGGACAGTTGTTGTTGGCGCACACGGTGTAGGACTGTGAGGAGACAAGACGTGTCCTGCCACCCTGACTGCCCGTCCCCGCGCTGGACGAAGACTGGATGGTTCTGACGCTGAACTTAGGGGACGAGCGGAGCGTGTCGTAGGTCTTGACCACCACAGGCACGGCACTGTCCGCGCTGTACGTCTTGACCACCACGGGCTTGCTGACACGGCTGTCCTCCACGTCTATGATGACAACGTTGCCGTAGCTCTCACCCTTGACATTTTTCTTCTGGCGTTGTGGACTAGTTTGGTACTGGCCGACACGGGACGTTCGTATTGCGGTGGGTTTCAATCGCCGGTGAGTTTTGGGTAAATCCGTTTTTAAAGTTCTACTCAAGCTTTGATCGTTGTTTAGTTTTTTATGTGAACTCACGGCTAGTCGTCTACTAGTCGCAGGCGTGCCACTGTACGTTTCAGTTTTACTTTGGTGATTGTTCTCAGACGACACATACGCCCTAAGCGAGTTTCGACGAGCTTCCGGTGTCCTTGACTTCCTGTACTTGGAGCACCAAAATTTGATGTTATTGAAGTTCTGGATGGAGGTCTCATCCATGCTGCAATGCCTGGCTTCCCTAGAACAGTTGCTCTTTTGGCCACTTCGGGCTCCATCTGTTTTTCTAGCTTTTGGGGGTTCTTCTGCCCAAACTTTTTGAACATTGACTCCATTTTGTTTCAACTGTCTGACACCTGGCCGTGCACACCTTTGGGAGGTCCGTTTGTCCTTTACCGCGCCCCTTTCTGCACTGTTGTCTTTGGTCGCGGGGCTTGAGGCTGAATCCATGACGTCATTTTGTTCATGAGAACTCTCTCTATGGCAGACGGCGCTCGATTGACGGGGCTTTGCTTGGTCTTGACATGGCCGGTGTTGATGTCCACAGTGTGGTTTGACTTGACTAGACACTCGCGACTGACTGACTTCTCCGAGGTCAACTTTTGACCTCCACCCCGACTCAGGCTTAAACCCACGAGTCGACTGTTGAATGAACTTGGTACGCTGTGGACTCATCCTGAAGTTGTTGTTGTATGCCGCCCCGCGCTGTGAGCCTGGCTCCCATGCACGCTCTGAGCTCTTTCTCCGCGAGCTGCTACTGACAGCTCTCTGCGCATGCGCAGCTGGAAGGTCCGGTTCAATTGTTGCCGTCCAAAACTCCTCAAATTTATTGAGGTAAATAATCTGAGGCTCGTCTTTGTGTTGTTTCATTTTAATTGGATAGCGAAACACAGACGATTGTTGATTGGAGGATTTCGAATTTCTCTGCACCAATCGACGAGCGACACTAGTCTCACTGTCAAAGGATTTGCTATTGGAAGTACAAGTTGTAGACTTGTAGTTCAAGTCTCTAGCCTGAGGACCAGCCAGATCTGAGCCCTTCCTTAGTTCCCCAGACACACTGGTATCTTCCTTGGAGTTGTCAGCACTGAATGAGAGGCTGGTCTCAGCGGTGGTGTCTAGATGGGTGACGGTCGCCGTGTCATGTCTGGCACGTGTCTGCTCGTGCGTTGAGGTTTCTGTTGGATCACCAGTAGAGCGCACGTGCTCAGCGCTGGAGGGGTTCTGCGAGGGGGTGTTGGTCACTTGCTCGCGCTTTGGCGTCACTAGCTTAGGCTGGCTGTTGAGCCTTTGCTGCGGTTCTAGCTTCTGGTTTTGCTGCAGTTCTAGCTGTTGATTTAGCTGCGGTTCTAGCTGTTGATTTAGCTGCGGTTCTAGCTGTTGATTTAGCTGCGGTTCTAGCTGTTGGTTTTGATTCATCTCTAACTGTTGGTTTATCCGCTGGTGTGCCGAGTCCGTCTTGTTCTGGTCGTGTGTCTGGGCCAGCAGACTGGCATTGAGGGAGTCGTTCCTGCAGGAGGTCGACGACTTGCTGGCCGTCGTCCACGTGCTGTCGTCGTCTGACAGCTCGATCTCGCCCCTGCCGCCCGCCCTTCTGTTGGATATCAGCAGCGGGTACTTGGTGTTGATGTCCACAGGCGTGATGGGAGAAAAGTTCTCGAGGAAAGACAAAGCTCTGCCCAAGTCAGGCTTTCTGATGTTCAGCAAGGAGTGAACCATTTGATCCAGGCATCTACACGGTAAGTGATTGTCACCTGACGTCATCATAGTGTCTTTAGTAGCAGCTGTTTGGTGTTTATTGGTGTTGTCAGCAGGTGTCTGGTGTTTATTGGTGTTGTCTCTGGTAAAGTCCACGCAAACATTGTCTCCTGAAGCGAAGCTGACACGCGACTTTGTTTCCGATGACGGAGTTTTGGAGTTCACAACATAATTTTCGTTAACTCCAGTCACGTGATTAGACCCCCGCCAATCAGATGACCTACACGATTCTGTTGGCCACGCAGGCTGTCTTGGCGTCTGCTCTTGTGCCGCCTTGCTTGTAGTTTCCAGAACCCGGGGGCTGTAATGAAGTTCAATCACGTTCTTGCCATTTGTTTGAGGTGTCACCCCCGACCCATCACGGCCCGTGTTTCTTGTGGTGACCTGTGTTAGCTCGTTACATTTCCCAGTTGGCTGTGTTGCTGAGGCCACACCGTTACGCCCACACGAGCCTGGTCGTCTAGATCTAGTGGCTGTGCTGTTAACGGAGCAACGACTGGCTCGGTGCTCAACATCGATGTTTAATTTCTCATGTGGACATTTGATCATTGACGAGCTTTCTTTAATATTAATTGTTCCCTTACTCTCCCCGCTCAACTTAACAGAAGACTTGGCGTGTTCTATAGAGTTATCCTGGAAGTTGGCCTTGACCTCGGCCAGCTTGGTGGTTAGAGAAATGCTGTTGTCCAGAGTATCCACTGACACAGACAGAGCGTCCAGGTCCACGGAAGCTACCGAAGCTTCTACCCGGGCAGTGGTGAAGTTGTCCCAGTCGTCGGTTGTACAGAGAGAGGGATCCGTCGACTTACGGCCACTGGCCTCAGCCGGTGGGTTGGTCAAGCTGCTCTGGTCAGTGTTGATACCCACAGACACGGGGTTGCTTGTGACGTTTCCCGCCTCGACCTGTTGGCTGAGGGAACGTGCTGACCTCACTGACCTGAGGTCATAGCCAGCGTCAGCAGAGGTTCTTTTTGATTGGTCCGTTTTACTGAGCAATGTCTGCGTTGTGGGTAGGAGATCGGCGTCACCGTGTGGATACAAAGATGGCGGTCCTCGGGCAGACGCATTCTTCTGGCATGGTTCAACTGTCTCCTCTACAGACCGATTAGAGCTAGTTGGGGATTTTCGTTGGCCGGCATTTGTCGGCAGATAAACTGGCTCGAAGCTTGTTTGTAGACCTCTAGAACCTGCCTGCAAGTCTGGCTGCTGATGAGCTTCATGCAGCGATGGCTCCAAGATCTGATTAGACAGAGGTGCTGCTGATGAAAGCTTGAGAGTCTGGTCAACTTTGTTTGTTGGTGCTGCTGATGGAAGCTTGAGAGTCTGGTCAACTTTGTTTGTTGGGGTTTGGGAACTTCCAGTCGTTGGAGTTGAGTGAATGTTGTTAGACGTGTTACTAGCAAGCTGGTGTCGTAGCTGGTCAGTGCTAGATTGGTGTCGTAGGTGGTCAGTGCTAGATTGGTGACGTAGCTGGTCAGTTTGGTGACGTAGCTGATCAGTGCTAGATTGGTGTCGTAGCTGGTCAGTGCTAGATTGGTGTCGCAGCTGGTCAGCGCTAGATTGGTGACGTAGCTGGTCAGTTAGGTGTCGTAGCTGGTCAGTGCTAGATTGGTGACGTAGCTGGTCAGTGCTAGATTGGTGACGTAGCTGGTCAGTGCTAGATTGGTCACGTAGCTGGTCAGTGCTAGATTGGTGTCGAAGCTGGTCATTACTAGATTGGTGTCGTAGCTGGTCAGTGCTAGATTGGTGACGTAGCTGGTCAGTTTGGTGTCGTAGCTGGTCATTACTAGTCGTTTGTCGTAGCTGGTCAGTGCTAGTCTGTGTTTGTCGAAGCTGGTCAGTGCTAGATTGGTGTCGTAGCTGGTCAGTGCTAGATTGGTGTCGTAGCTGGTCAGTGCTAGATTGATGACGTAGCTGGTCAGTGCTAGATTGGTGTCGTAGCTGGTCAGTGCTAGATTGGTGTCGTAGCTGGTCAGTGCTAGATTGGTGTCGTAGCTGGTCAGTTTGGTGTCGTAGCTGGTCAGTGCTAGATTGGTGTCGTAGCTGGTCAGTGCTAGATTGATGACGTAACTGGTCAGTGCTAGATTGGTGACGTAGCTGGTCAGTGCTAGATTGGTGACGTAGCTGGTCAGTGCTAGATTGGTGTCGTAGCTGGTCAGTGCTAGATTGGTGACGTAGCTGGTCAGTTTGGTGTCGTAGCTGGTCATTACTAGTCGTTTGTCGAAGCTGGTCAGTGCTAGTCTGTGATTGTCGAAGCTGGTCAGTGCTAGATTGGTGACGTAGCTGGTCAGTGCTAGATTGGTGACGTAGCTGGTCAGTGCTAGATTGGTGTCGTAGCTGGTCAGTGCTAGATTGGTGACGTAGCTGGTCAGTTTGGTGTCGTAGCTGGTCATTACTAGTCGTTTGTCGTAGCTGGTCAGTGCTAGTCTGTGTTTGTTGGAGCTGACCAGCTATATTGTGTTGATAAAAAAATAGTTGAGTCTCAGGATCACGGCCATCTGATGTATCTTTAGCCGGCTGGATGTCCTGGTAGCCTAGGATGGGAGGCTGGTGGCCGTGGGTGGTAGGCTGGTGGCCGTGGGTGGGAGGCTGGTGGCCGTGGGTGGGAGGCTGGTGGCATAGGGTGGGAGGCTGGTGGCCGTGGGTGGGAGGCTGGTGGCCGTGGGTGGGAGGCTGGTGGCCGTGGGTGGGAGGCTGGTGGCATAGGGTGGGAGGCTGGTGGCGGTATGCAGATCCTAGAGGACTCAACGCCCCGGACACAGCGGGGACAGACGAAGTTTGGGATGTCGGATGTCGGTGTGGTGAAGTGGATGTCGGATGTCGGTGTGGTGAAGTGGATGTCGGATGTCGGTGTGGTGAAGTGGATGTGGGCCAAACGGATACATGTCTGTCGTGTGACTGACATGGTGGCTTATCAGCAGTGCTAAGATACAAATTTGGTTGCATCTTGGACAACGTTGGTGGTATCTCGTACATTGTTGGTGGTATCTTGTACATGGTTGGTGGTATCTTGTACATGGTTGGTGGTAAGTTGTCGAACAGTTGACGGTCAGGCGAGCTGTCCGTACTCTGGTCAACACTGGCCCGTAGATTATGGCTAAAGGCTGGCTGCAGGCAGGGCTGGTTGTTGGCGTCGGGCGGCTGATTGTAGGGTTGTCTGTGGTTGTACGCGGTGTGGTTGGTGTGTGTTAGTCGGCTGGTGTGTGCTACTAGGCTGGAGTGTGGAATTGGGCTGGAGTGTGGCATCAGGGTGGTGTGTGACAATGGACTGCTGTACGTAAAAGCCTTGTGGTCCCCACCCACTGTATTGCACCAGTCGTCCTGATGACACCGCCGATCTAGACGTTGTTTGAGCTCGTTCAGCCGGTCAGAGCAGTAGGGCACCCTGTACCCACTGGCTGGACCTTGCAGCTGGCCAGTGGGCACCCTGTACCCACTGGCTGGACCTTGCAGCTGGCCAGTTCTGTATTTATACGTCATCGCCTCGCTAGACTGGTCGTTAAGACTTGACTCACACCAAGGTCGTCCGTCTTCGCTCGGCAGTTTCTTCTGTAGGATCGATACAACATTTTTCATCAGCGATTTCGATTCCAGAGTTGACAAATTGTCCGGGAGATTTTCTAAAAGTTGAGTGAACTTCCGTTTGTTGACGTCACTCTCGTCTGTGTCTTGTGTCTCCAGCGACATGTGGTACGACGGATGAGGTTCGTCCGCGTGTCGGTCCGACAAATGCTGCATATCATACGTCATCGATCTATTAAAGTTGAGTTCTCCGTGGTGACAATGCGATGCGTTCAAGTGATGTTTGGTCCACGGGAAATCTTGGAGTAGACGGTCCGTTCTGTCGTGGCTATAGTCATTTCGTTTTTCCTGTTCGTAGTCCGTTCTGTCGTGGCTATAGTTGTTGAGTTTTTCCTCTTGGTAGTCCGTCTTGTCGTGGCTATAGTCATTTCGTTTTTCCTGTTCGTAGTCCGTTCTGTCGTGGCTATTAGTATACGCGTTAAGTTTTTCCTGTTTGTACTCTGCTCCGTTGTGGCAATAGGCGTTCAGTTTTTTCGAATGGATGTTGTTATACAAACGCTCAAATACGTCTGTTGACCTACAGTTCCCTTTCTGTTTGTTTCCTCGCACGCAATTCTTTCGTTTTTGTTTTTTCTGGACTTTTTTTCTTCTCTCTGTTGTCGCTGGTTTTGTTTTTATCAGTTTCATCTCATCTTGGCTGTGAGGAATACCGTTTGTAGTAGTGCAGTCGTCTTCCACGATACATTTCTTCAGTAAAGTTTCATCCAGTTTGTCTAGGTAACTCACGTGATCTGGGTCCATGTGTTGGATCACTATATTCTTGTTGGCCTGAGAGCCCAGGATGAATTCCTTCCCCTGATAGTTAAAATAGCTTCGAGGGCGAGTTGTTTCCCTTTCAATACAAATTTTCGCTCTTTGAATTTCTTCTTTTAGTCGATCGGCGACTTGGCGGCGAATATGGGCTTTAGTACTGGGGTCAAAGTTCGCCACCTCTTCTAAAATCAGGTTGTCTATCTTGGGTGGACTGGAGGATTTTTTCCCGCAGGAAGATTTAGTTTTATGGAGCTTACAAGAATGAACTTGGTTGCCCGAAGCTAAGCACTTGTTGTCTCCGCGGATAACGGCATTGTTTGCAACATTTTGGGCACATTTGTCGTGACAACAGTCCACAACATTTTGGGCATATTTGTCGTGACAACAGTCCACAACATTCGGGGCACATTTGTCGTGACTCCCGTTACATTTATACATGTCCCCGAACCTTTGATCTAGGATATTCCATTGTTTGACTTGACGTACCTTACTGGTTATCTCGTCGTAACCTTCACCTTGATCCCGAACATAATCTAGAATCGAGCTAGTTTGAGCGCTGGCCAGAGCGGAGCTAAGTTGGCCGAAGGACTCAGGCGAATGACAACCCCAAGCCCAACCCTCACGTTTCGATACCTCATTGGTCTCTCTGGCTGCATGGGACAGAACTCTCGCCCAATAATCGTGGGCGACCTGACTGTCCTTGTCATAGGCTGTCGCTTCTACAGCTGGCACAAAGCTCAGAGCTGACTGAAAGGGGGCGGGGGTACACACGCGTGAGCTCAACTCACTACTGCCCATTGCTAAAGTTTAGATCAGGAACATGTCACTTCCGTCTAGGAATTTCTGTTCAGCTGAAGAGCTGATGTGAACGTCTGCACCGCCAGTGTTGCGCATGATGGTGTGCAAATAGAGGTCACGTTGAGTGCTGTTGTTGAGTGTATCTAACACACCTCAAACACTTTCTAACACAAGCAATTCGTCAGATGAACAAATAATTGACTTGATTTGTTGTATGCTTGACACGGAGATATCATCGTTTGCTGGAGTTATGGTAAAGACTGAGAGAACGGGCCAAGTTATGGGATAAGTTGAGCGAGTCAACTATGGGTTTAGAGACTATTCGAGGTCAAATCTTTTTTTTGGGGGGGGGGGGGGGGCGGACTAAAATTTCAGGGGGGGTGCACAATGTTAAAAGTATTTATTTTCTATATAAATTCCATTTAGTACGGGGGGGGGGGGGGGGAGTAGACTTTCTTCGGGGGAGGGGGCGGAACCCCCCCGAAGAAGATGCCTGGAAGAAACACTGCAAACATGGGTTTAGGGACTATTTGGGGAATTCAACAATACCCGCCCCAGCTGCTAGTCTTATGGTGCTTTATGTTTAGAGCAGATTAAAATGGAGCATGCTGTTTAGATAAGACACACTGTCTGTGGTATTATCTAAAAATTTAGACCGATGAGGCATTTATTCTTTTATCTACAAATAACTTTTGTGATTTGCCTAGTTTTAAGTTCAATATTTGCATCCATACAACGCACATAAAATTGTTTGGGTCTTAATTATCACCAGAACTATAGATAGCAATAAAACAAAAGAACAATAATATATTCAATTTACCGGTCAGCTTAAATCCACTTGAATTAATTATCTACAGGGAACGTTTGCTTGGTTTAATTTAATTTAGAACGTGACGCTGGATGAAAACATAACTCGTCGAATTATTAACGCCCCTAGTCTGGTTGTTTCCCCTGAAGGCGCCCTGTCTAACAGGAGAGAAATTGAAAACGAGGCAACCTACCATTGGGCGCGCCCTGTGAGTTGGACGCGTCTGCGCATGGGTTAGGTTTGCACCGCGGCTTCCGTTTAGGTGGGCACGGGGTGCACGGGGTGCACGTGCACTCAGCCTCCTGTTCCTGCATGAGCCGGCATTTGGTCATGAGCTTGTTCCAGCCAGATGGAGTGTAGCCACCACAGCCGCCCTTGCTGCAGCCAGCGCCCAGTCGGCTGTTGTCTCGGCAGATGGCTGGCACTGGAACAATAACAGGCAGGTGTTGGCAAGGTGGGGACAGGTAACACGGGGACATTCACATTAGGGACAGGTAACACGGGGACATTTACATTAGGGACAGGTAACACGGGGACATTTACATTAGGGACAGGTAACACGGGGACATTTACATTAGGGACAGGTAACACGGGGACATTTACATTAGGGACAGGTAACACAGGGACATTCAAAGTTGGGACAGGTAATACAGGGACATTCAAAGTTGGGACAGGTAACACGGAGACATTCAAAGTCGGGACAGGTAACACAAGGACATTCAAAGTTGGGACAGGTAACACAGGGACATTCAAAGTTGGGACAGGTAACACGGGGATATTCATATTAGGGACAGGTAACACAGGGACATTCAAAGTTGGGACATGTAATACAGGGACATTCAAAGTTGGGACAGGTAACACGGAGACATTCAAAGTCGGGACAGGTAACACAAGGACATTCAAAGTTGGGACAGGTAACACAGGGACATTCAAAGTTGGGACAGGTAACACGGGGGCTTTGAAAGTCGGGACAGGTAACACAGGGACATTCAAAGTTGGGACAGGTAACACGGGGACATTCAAAGTTGGGACAGGTAACACGGGGACATTAAAGTGGGGACAACTCGTGGATAACACAGGAATATGCTATTCTATAACCTTAAAAATATACAAGGAATATAAACATTTTTTATTCTACATCTTAATGTGCACGAGTTCAACTTCCTGTAATCAACTGTAATTGTGTATGAAATGTTGATGTTCAGAGAGAGTAAGAGAGAGAATAAGTTAGACAGGGATGGGAAGAGAAAAAATGAATTGGAGAAATAGGTAGAGAATGTGAAAAAGAAGGAAAGATAGTCGGAGAACTAGAGATAGGAAGCGAGAGAGACAGATAGAGAGAGAGAGAGAGGGGGGGGGGAGGAGGGAGGAAAAAACCCAGAGAGAGAGATAGATAGAGAGAGAGAGAGAGAGAAACCAGAGAGAGAAACCAGAGAGAGGGAGAGAGACGAGGGAACACACCACATCTGCACTCCGGCGGCTCACAGCAGCAGCAGGCTTTTCTTGGTTTTGGTGACGTGCAGGCGCTCGCTGGGCGGGGCTTGGGTTTACACACACCTTGACCCCTGACCTGAAACGTGGACGAACACGAGCTAGGGAACGTCTTCTGGTAGCAGGACGTACACTTGGGCGTCTGGCTGACCTTGTCTAGACAGCAGAGGCAGCAACAGGTCGCACACTTCTTGGGCTTGGACGAGCCTCGTTTTGGACAGCGGTCAGGTTTAGCTGGGCATTTGCCGCAGTTACCGCTGCCCTTAGAAGACGGAGTACACTTGAGGCAGCGGCAGAATGCCGGGCAGCTGGACGGGCAGCTGGGCGGGCAGCTGGGTGGGCAGCAAGCTTTCGATGGAGCGATGGGGTAGCAAAGTTTCGGACATCTAGACATATAGCTTTTGTTGGGTGTGTCGGTACATTTCCCGCAGCAGCTAGGATCCGGGCATTCCTCTTGGTTTCTCTTTGGCGATCGGCTACATTTCAGGCAGCAACAGTATTCTGGGCATTCAGATACGTTGGGGCACTTCTTGGGTGTACGGATACATTTAAGGCAGCAACAATATTCTGGGCATTCCTGTTTTTTTGTTGTTTTTTTCGGTGATCGAATACATTTCAGACAGCAACAATATTCTGGGCATTCCTGTTTTTTGGTTGTGTTTTTTGGTGATCGAATACATTTCAGACAGCAACAATATTCTGGGCATTCCTGTTTTTTGGTTGTGTTTTTTGGTGATCGAATACATTTCAGAAAGCAACAATATTCTGGGCATTCCTGTTTTTTGGTTGTGTTTTTTGGTGATCGAATACATTTCAGACAGCAACAATATTCTGGGCATTCCTGTTTTTTGGTTGTGTTTTTTGGTGATCGAATACATTTCAGACAGCAACAATATTCTGGGCATTCCTGTTTTTTGGTTGTTTTTTTCGGTGATCGAATACACTTAAGGCAGCAACAAAAAGCCGGGCACTCGGTTTCCTTAGATTTTATTTTGGACGTGCAAATACACTTGAGACAGCAACAATTTGCTGGGCACTTAGAAGTCGTCCCCCGTGGAGAGCGGACACACTTGGGCGAGCAGGATCTGTCGGGTGGTGGGCAGGGTGACGTCAGCTTCTCGCAGACTCCAACCGGCGCAGCAGTCGGTGTCTCCTCGCATTTCTTCTTGCAGACGGCAATAATTGATGACAGAACCTTGTCGCACTCCAGGAAAGGGTTGTCGCTCAGGTTCTTCAGGGTGCATTTCAAAAGTTGGTTGGTGTTTCGTATCACGCAGTTTCTCCTCCTCAGACAGTCGATTTCTTCTTGCCTCACGCGGACCATCATTGTGACAGACTTTATTCCAGCTGGCAGACTTTATCTCAGCTTATACACAGACAAATCTATTTTTATCTCACCACAATTGGAACATGCATCAAGCTACAGGAAACCATAAAAACGACAGCTTTAATTTTGTTGATGTTATATAGTTTAATTATCTAAGAAATATTTTTACTCTAAACTTCCTAAACAAGCACGTCTGCCCACGGTGTACAGACTCATAGCATTATGTTTTGTTAATTAATTTAGCTACCAATCAAAAGATCATTATGTTTTGTGAATTAATCTAGCTACCAATCAAAAGCTCATCTAAAAGTGTAGAACGAGTGAAACTCCGACAGACGGAGGACCTAACAAACTAAAAAGGCAATGTCTTTGTTTTGTTTCACATTGCCAGAAGATCAGACGCTCTTATCATGGAACTTCCGTGAGGGTGGGGTTCCCTGCGTTCACAAAGCTTTAGTGCGCACTGGTGCGACACAGCCAAGAGATGCGCGCAGGTGCAATACAGCCAAGAGGTGCGCACGGGTGCGACAAAGCCAAGAATTTGGACAGACTTGGAGGTAAACTAATTGCACACGAAGTAAAATAGAAACGTTGGAGGTAGGACAGAGAAAACGTTGGAGGTAGGACAGAGAAAATGTTGGAGGTAGGACAGAGAAAATGTTGGAGGTAGGACAGAGAAAATGTTGGAGGTAGGACAGAGAAAATGTTGGAGGTAGGACAGAGAAAATGTTGGAGGTAGGAGAGAGAAAATGTTGGAGGTAGGACAGAGAAAATTTTGGACAGGAGAAAGATTATTTGGTGAAATGGCCAAATTTTGGAAGTGGAAAATAAGAAATGTTGCATGTGGGGAATAACATATGTTGGTTGTGAGTAATGATAAATGTTGGAAGTCTCACAAGATAGACCTGAACATATTCTACCAATCTCCGTGGCTCTACAGACCACTGAGGTCTCTGTCTGCTACACCACCAGCTTCCCTGCTCACCCCAGCCCTACAGTTGCCCATTGGGGTTTATGTTTTATATCATGTTTACAACCCTCTCCCCCCCCCCCCCCCCGTTGTTTGGCATACCGTCCAGATATATCGCTACTGAAAGGAATCATTGTGTCTGTACAATTCATTTACCTCTTGGTTAGTTGAATTCTTCATCCTTTCAAATTATTAGCATGACTATAATTATCTTCTCTGTAGGATTTTCATTTACAATGTGTTAAAATATGTTTTCGGTTTTTAAAATCGTCCAAGTTTACTGGCATAAATTATTACTAATCGGATTATTGTTTTACACATTATTTGTCTGGTGTTCCTATTGTTTTCCCCATTATGACTGCTAAAATAAGTCCTGTCCCGCAGAGATTTTTTCTTGAAATTGTTTTACTTTGTCAAATCTGTGATTTGTAATTGTAAATGTTTCTTTTATCTGTTCATCGCTTGCCATTGCCAGGTCTATACTTTGTTGGCCATTTACTTCTATACTGCACGTCAAGATGTTGCTTTACATTCAGTAAAAATAAATTGTGAAGTCTTTAGTTGTTTTACTATTTTAAAATAATACTTGATTTCTTTCGAGTGTATATAGCACCCGTTCCACATATCATAAAAAAGGTAAGCACATTTTTAATATAACAGATGATAGCTAATGACATACGATGGCAGTTGATTGATGTAAGGAAATAATTGATGATAGCTAATGTCACATGAGAATAAATGACAGATGCCAACTGCTTTCGTTGGATGAACTGAGGAGTGTTTACACTGGCATTTCTCCCACAACACACATCAACATCAACCTACAGCCCCCAGCAACATCAACCCACAACACATAGCAACAGCAACATCGAACTACAAAATCCAGCTACATCAACCCACAACACACATCAACATCAACCCACAACACACATCAACATCAACCCACAACACACATCAACATCAACCCACAACACACATCAACATCAACCCACAACACACATCAACATCAACCCACAACACACAACAACATCAACCCACAACACACATCAACATCAACCCACAACACACATCAACATCAACCCACAACACACATCAACATCAACCCACAACACACATCAACATCAACCCACAACACACATCAACATCAACCCACAACACACATCAACATCAACCCACATAACCCAGCAACATCATCCTACAGACCCAAGCAACATCAACCCACAACACCCAGCTACATCAACCTACAGCCCCCAGAAAACATCGACCCACAATACACAACAACATCAACCCACAACACCCAGCTACATCAACCTACAGCCCCCAGAAAACATCGACCCACAATACACAACAACATCAACCCACAACACCCAGCTACATCAACCTACAGCCCCCAGAAAACATCGACCCACAATACACAACAACATCAACCCACAACACCCAGCTACATCAACCTACAGCCCCCAGAAAACATCGACCCACAATACACAACAACATCAACCCACAACACCCAGCTACATCAACCTACAGCCCCCAGAAAACATCGACCCACAATACACAACAACATCAACCCACAACACCCAGCTACATCAACCTACAGCCCCCAGAAAACATCGACCCACAATACACAACAACATCAACCCACAACACCCAGCTACATCAACCTACAGCCCCCAGAAAACATCGACCCACAATACACAACAACATCAACCCACAACACCCAGCTACATCAACCTACAGCCCCCAGAAAACATCGACCCACAATACACAACAACATCAACCCACAACACATATCAACATCAACCTACAACACCCATCATATAATGTTTGCTTATTGTGTACGCACAAAGGAGCAAATATTGAGGCGCATTTTCAACAAACTTTACGAACTTTGGTTTATATTTCAATATCACGAAAATAAATGCACATTTTAACGAAAACAAATGCACAGTTTAGTAAATATCACGAAAATAAATGCACATTTTAACGAAAATAAATGCACATTTTAACAAACATCACGAAAATAAATGCACATTTTAACAAACATCACGAAAATAAATGCACATTTTAACAAACATCACGAAAGTTGATGCACATTTTAACAAAGATCCCAAAAGTTGATGCACATTTTAACAAAGATCACAAAAGTTGATGCACATTTTAACAAAGATAACAAAAGTTGATGTTTTTATGTAATCTTACCGTCACAAAAGTGGATGTTTTTATGTAATCTTACCGTCACATTTCCCACTCGCTTTAAAGATGGCGGCACACTCAGCGCGTGCTTCACAGTATCTAATTATAGCCCTGAGTATTTTGGCGCACTCTGCTGCAGCTATCTTCTTCCTCACTCGAATGTTGTTTCTGTTCATGGGAAGAAATGCCATCATTACATTCAAATAATGTTAATTTAAACATTACAATGTAAGTTGAAGGAAAAAGAAATATTTTATTAAGAAGAAGAAACAAAACATTCTGTGTGAGCACTCTTGCCATTCTATTCCCCCCCCCACCTCCCCCGCCAGCGTTACGACCGCGAACTGACCAGGCGTGTTGATGTAAACATCAACAAAATAAAACTACAGGCGTCTGTTGATGGTGGCAGGTTTACTACATACCTGCAATACAGTGGCAAGTTTACCACACACCTACCTCCTGTGACAAGTTTACCACACACCTACCTCCTGTGACAAGTTTACCACACACCTACCTCCTGTGACAAGTTTACCACACACCTACCTACTGTGGCAAGTTTACCACGCACCCACAATACAGTGGCAAGTTTACCACACACCTACCTACTGTGACAAGTTTACCACACACCTACCTACTGTGGCAAGTTTACCACGCACCCACAATACAGTGGCAAGTTTACCACACACCTACCTACTGTGACAAGTTTACCACACACCTACCTACTCTGGCAAGTTTACCACGCACCCACAATACAGTGGCAAGTTTACCACAAACCTACCTCCTGTGACAAGTTTACCACACACCTACCTACTGTGGCAAGTTTACCACACACCTATACTACAGTGGCAAGTTTACCACACACAACTACAATACAGTGGCAAGTTTACCACACACCTACCTACTG